CCATCGGCGGCCAGATTTTCCTCGCTCTGGACAGCCGGCAGGGTTAGTGGGTTCGGCCCCAGCACATTAATGTGCCCAATCCCTGTAACACACACACACACCTCCGTCGTTGGCCGCGACGTTAAATACGGAGCTGGATGAGTGCCGGTGGGTGATACCACAGGCACGGGTTCGAACCCCAGCCGGAACACTAGCTGGGACTTTGCCTCACGGCACCTTCGTGGCGGCATCTGGGCGGCGGACGGCTGCCCGGCAGACCGGCATGGCGCTTGCAAGACGGAGCCTCCCCGGGATGCCATCGGCGGCCAGATTTTCCTCGCTCTGGACAGCCGGCAGGGTTAGTGGGTTCGGCCCCAGCACATTAATGTGCCCAATCCCTGTAACACACACACACACATTCCTCCCTCCCCGCCCTTTGCGCCCGACCGCTCCCTGAGCCCGCCCTTTGCCGCCCGGGCGGTATTGCATGCTTTCATACAGTCCAGAGCTAGTGGGCACGGCTTGTGTGCCCCCAGCCCATTAATGGGCATTGCCTCTGTAACATCACAGATCACAGATCACAGATCATTCCCGAGTGAGTGCCGGTGGGTGATACCACAGGCACGAGTTCGAACCCCAGCCGGGACACTAGCTGGGACTTTGCCTCACGGCACCTTCGTGGCGGCATCTGGGCAGCGGACGGCTGCCCGGCACACCGGCATGGCGCTTGCAAGACGGAGCCTCCCCGGGATGCCATCGGCGGCCAGATTTTCCTCGCTCTGGACAGCCGGCAGGGTTAGCGGGTTCGGCCCCAGCACATTAATGTGCCCAATCCCTGTAACACACACACACACATTCCTCCCTCCCCGCCCTTTGCGCCCGACCGCTCCCTGAGCCCGCCCTTTGCCGCCCGGGCGGTATTGCATGCTTTCATACAGTCCAGAGCTAGTGGGCACGGCTTGTGTGCCCCCAGCCCATTAATGGGCATTGCCTCTGTAACATCACAGATCACAGATCACAGATCATTCCCGAGTGAGTGCCGGTGGGTGATACCACAGGCACGAGTTCGAACCCCAGCCGGGACACTAGCTGGGACTTTGCCTCACGGCACCTTCGTGGCGGCATCTGGGCGGCGGACGGCTGCCCGGCAGACCGGCATGGCGCTTGCAAGACGGAGCCTCCCCGGGATGCCATCGGGCGGCCAGATTTTCCTCGCTCTGGACA